GACCTGACAGGCTATGGGGTGTGGCCATCAGAGGACTGGCGTAACAGGCGTGACCTTCTGGCTGTACTTTTCCACGCAGACTTTAGCGGCAGGGACCATAACTATCCATGACATGGCTTCTCCTGGTTAGGTTTGTCTCCAGTCTAAAATCAACACCACACATCCTTAGTGTGTTCTTTCTCCTTATCTCCTCAACATCTGAAGATTTCTTTCTTTGATTTGCCTTGGATGACCTCCAGACACAGACCACTGGACTTTACTAAGAAATCGGGCAGAACCCACTAGAAATGCTTATTTTTTCTGGCAGAACGGCACCCATGATGCATTGCTTCCCCTCACAGATCTAACTAACTGCAGTGCCAACGCCGTGGGACGCATCTTGAAAGGACAGGTCACTGAAAGAAAGTTGTTCTTTCCCTTTGGGGAGCATCTGGGAATAATATTCCCACACGTCAAATCTGTTAGCTCCTGTCTCACCCACACCAAGACACCTGGCCGCCAGATTCACACACCAGCTTGTCAAATCCCGTCAGTTCATCAACAGCATCGAGGGACTTTGGATTGGGGTGGCCCAAGAATGGAATGCTTACCAGAGAAAATATCACATTCCATCCTTCCTCACTGAACGATGATTATTAGAGAAAGTTGAGCAGCCAACCCATGTTATTTTTCTTTGTGTCTAGTAAACACTCATCTGATCCCAAACCAATTTGTTGAGCATCTATTGCAAAAGTGAAATCAGATCACATTTCTTAAGTACTCATTAAAATTTCATGGGCATCCAGATATGTTTTCCTCAAGGTAAATACAGGCAACGTCTTGTCATCCCCAAGCATTTTTGATAAAATTCATTACATGATCTAGGAAGGAGTGTTTATATGCTTAGATCATATGCTGAAGATTTTTTAATGAGGTCCAGGTACTTCAGCTGTTTCCCAGGAATGCATTGTGTCTGAAATTTAGACCAGAAGGCACTCATCAACACATGTTTCTTTGATGAATTATTATTTATGTGAACTGACAAAGCAGTGTGATTTTTCCTTCAGTCATCAAATCTGCCCTTTCACAGCTGGCAATAAATGTTTATTTTCTTCAGTAAAAGAATGATCTAAATAATGCTTGCAACCTTCTGTTT